CTTCGGCGCGGCCGCGACGCCCGCGGCCGCGCCCGCGGCCGGGCTCTCGTTCGGCGCGGCCGCGGCGACGCCCGCGTCGGCCGCGGCGCCGGCGCTGTCCTTCGGCGCGCCCGCGGCGGCGACGCCCGCGGCCGCGCCGGCCGGCGGCCTGTCCTTCGGCGCGCCCGCGGCGACGCCCGCGGCGGCGACGGCCGCGGCCGCGGCCGCGCCGTCCTTCGGCGCCGCGCCCGCGTCCGCCGCGGCCGCGGCGCCGTCCTTCGGCGCCGCGCCGGCGGCGAGCTCCGCGCTCACCGTCGCCCCGACGACGTCGGCCCTCGCGACCACAACGACGCCCGCGGCCGCCGCGGCGCCCGCGGCGGCCGTGCCCGCGCCGCCCGCGGATTGCCGGAACAAGAGCGTCGAGGAGATCATCAACGGCTGGAAGAAGAGCTTGGAGAGCGACTGCGCGGCCTTCCAGCTCCAGGCGGAGAAGCTGCGGTCCTGGGAGAACGAGATCCGGAGCTCGCAGGCGGAGATCGTCGAGGTGTCGTCGTACGCCGAGAAGCTCGTCATCTCGCAGCAGCGCACGGAGAAGGTGCTCACGGAGGTCCGCGCGTACCAGGACGACCTCGACGCGGACCTCGACGCCATGGAGCGCCACGTCGACGACCTCTTCGCGCGGTCCGCGACGCGGCCGCCCCTCGACGCCGACGTCGAGCGCGAGCACGCGTACGACCTCTCGGTCAAGCTCGAGAACCAGCTCGGCGCGATGCTCGACCAGCTCAAGGACCTCGTCGTCAAGCTCAACGTCCAGCACGACAGCGCCCTCGGCGAGGAGCCCGCGCGCGACATCATGAAGATCGTCAACGCGCACCACCAGAGCCTCGCCTACCTCAACGCAAAGGCCCAGAAGATGGACGCGGACGTCTCCGCCCTCGAGGCCGACGTCGAGCAGCTCCGCCGCCAGGCGCCGCCCTAGGACGCGGCCGCGGGGGGTCCCCTGTAACGACGCGCGGGGATGTCGGGCGGCGGCGTTTACAACCCGACGACGTTTGTTGAACTTGGGTGGTTTCTTGACCAGTTCTTGACCTTGAAATTGCAAGCCTACGTGCAAGCCTTCTCGGTTTCGATCGCTGGGCTTCCACACGCTGGAGGCAGCCCATCGTCTCAATGGAAGACCCCAAGGCGCCGCTCGTCGGCACGGAGATGGTCGCCCTGGAGGATAAAGTGCCCCCGACGAAGGCCGCGCCGATCCTGGAAAAGCAGCCGCCCGCGCACCGCTGCCGCAAGATCGTCGGCGCCTTCGTCGTCGTCGCCGCGATCGTTTCGGGCCTCGGGCTCATCCTCGCGAGCAAGAGCACGAGCGGCAGCGCCTCGGCCCCCTCGCCGACGCGCGCGCCGAGCCTCGCGCCCGTCGCGCTCGTCGCCTGCAGCCTTGCTCTCGGCGGCGACGCGACGGCCGACGAGCTCGACGACGACGCGTCGCGCGCGGTCATCACGAGCGCCATCGCCGCGACGCTCGACGTCGACGAGGCGTCGATCGTCAACCTCGCCATCGCCGACGCGCGGCGGCGGCGGCGGCTCCTGGCCGTCGTCGCGACCTTCGACGTCGTCGTCGTCGCGTCCGAGGGCGACGCGACGGAGGCGCTCCTCGAGGAGGCCGTGGCGTCCGGCGACCTGACGGCGACGATCCAGGCGACGGCCGTCGATCAGGGCGTCGCCGTCCTCGAGGAGGCGACGGCCGACGCCGTCGCGGTCACCGTCGCGGAGGTGCCCGCGCCGACGCCGCGGCCGACGCCGGCGACGGCGCCGGCGCCGACGGCGACGGCCTACGCCTGGTCCTGCGCCGAGGACGCCGACTGCTGCAGCGACGAGGGCGGCGCCTGCGACTGCGAGAGCGGTCCCCGTGCCCGCGTCCGAAAAAAAAATCGTTCCCCGCGCGACGCGTGTTTCCCGCAGGCTACGTCGCGTTCGGCAGCAACGGCATGGAATGGGAGGGCTACAAGCCCATGTGGTTTTATGCGGCGTCGCCGGCGGACTGCACGTCGGGCGCCTTCGGCGGCGACCCGGCGCCGGGGTACGCGAAGTGGTGCGCGTGCGTCGCCGCGGATCTGAGCCCGACGGCCGCGCCCGTCGCGGACCGGCCGAGCCCGGCGCCGAGCGCGGCGCCGACGACGGGCGCGCCGACGAGCGCGGCGCCGAGCGCGGCGCCGACGACGGGCGCGCCGACGAGCGCGGCGCCGAGCGCGGCGCCGACGACGGGCGCGCCGACGAGCGCGGCGCCGAGCGCGGCGCCGACGATCGTCTTCGCGTGGGACTGCGCCGGCGACGCGCGGTGCTGCGCCGAGGAGGGCGGGACCTGCGCGTGCGACACGGGCTTCGCGGCCTGGGGGAGCAACGGCATGGACTGGGAGGGCTACAAGCCCATGTGGGTCTACGCGGTCGCCGACTCGATCGAGTGCTCGACGGCGGCGTTCGGCGACGACCCGGCGGGCGGCTACGCCAAGTGGTGCGCCTGCGTCGACGGCGTGCCCGATCCCACGGCCGCGCCGTCGGGCGGGCCGTCCGCCCCCCCGACGCCCGCGCCGCTGCCCGCGCCGACGATCCTCCCGACGTCGGCGCCGACGACGGCCGCGCCGACGTCGGCGCCGCCGACGCTCGCGACGTTCTGGGCCTGCTCCGACGACCCCCAGTGCTGCGCCGAGGACGGCGCCACCTGCGCCTGCGATTCGGGCTTCGCGGGCTACGGCAGCAACGGCAACAACTGGGCCGGCTACGAGCCGGGCCTCTGGGTCTACGCGGCGGGCGACTCGCTCGAGTGCTCCAAGGACGGCTTCGGCCAGGGCGACCCGGCGCCCGGCTACGCCAAGTGGTGCCGGTGCGTCGGGGGCGTCCCGTCCGCAATGCCGACGACGGCCGCGCCGTCGGGCAGCCCGGCGCCGAGTCGCGAGTACCCCTGGGACTGCGCGCGCGACGCCTCTTGCTGCGCCGAGGAGGGCGAGACCTGCGCGTGCGACTCCGGCGCCGCGGGCTTCGGGAGCAACGGCAACGAGGGCACGGGCTACGTGCTCGGCATGTGGACCTACGCGGCCTCCGACTCCATCGAGTGCTCCGTCGCGGCGTTCGGCGAGGACCCGGCGGGCGGCTACGCCAAGTGGTGCGCGTGCGTCGGCGCGGTGCCGACGGTCGAGCCGTCGCTCGCGCCGACGACGGTGTCGCCGTCGCTCGCGCCGACGACGGTTTCGCCGACGACGGTTTCGCCGACGACGGCGTCGCCGGTCCCTCCGCCGTCGGCCCCGCCGACGACGGCGGCGCCGTCGACGGCGCCGCCGTCGTCGTCGTCGGCGCCGACGACGGCGGCGCCGTCGGCGTTCGACGTCTGGGACTGCGACTCGGATCCGAACTGCTGCGCCGAGTCGGGCGACACCTGCGCCTGCGACTCGGGCTGGATGGCCTACGGCAGCAACGGCATGGAGTGGCGGGGCCGCGGCGTCCGCCGGCGCGCGCGCGACGCTCGCGCGAGGGGCGCGCGATCCCGCCGCTTTCCCTAGGCAGGGCTATACGCCCATGTGGGTCTATCTCGAGGCCGACTCGGCGACGTGCAACACGGAGACCTTCGACCAGGGCGACCCCGCGGGCGGCTACAGCAAGTGGTGCAGATGCGTCGGCGGCGTGCCGACGCTGCGCCCGTCGACCCCCGCGCCGTCGCGCGTCCCGACGGTTCTGGAGCCGACGGCCTCCGCCCCGCCGACGGTCTCGCCGCCGCCGTCGGGTCTGCCGACGACGGCGGCGCCGTCGGCGTTCAGCTTCTGGGACTGCGACTCGGATCCGAACTGCTGCGCCGAGGAGGGCGGGTCGTGCGCCTGCGACGGCGACTGGGCCTCGTACGGATCCAACGGCAACATTTGGGCGGGCACGCCGGACCCCATGTGGACCACGATGCACATCCTCGGCCTCAAGGACGCGGACGGCGCCGTGGAGTGCAGCAGCGACTTCTTCGGCGGCGATCCGGCCGGCGGCTACCCCAAGTGGCGAGCGCCGGCGTCGCGTGTGCTTCCGAGAGGCGTCGGCGGGGACGCGAGCCGCGCGCAGGTGCCGCTGCGCGGACGGCCAGCCGACGGCGCCGCCGACGCCGGCCTTCTCCTGCCTCTGCTTCGAGGACGACGGCGACGGGTGCACGGTCATCGGCGCGCCCGCGCCCGCGCCGACGTTCGCGTACTCGGCGGACGACTGCGCGGCGGCCCAGGGCTACGCGCTCGACATCGTCACGCGCACCTGCAAGCCGGACGTCGCCGTCAAGGACCGCGGCTGCTACCCGCGGGCCAACTGCGACGCGGACTACGCGGCGCGCTTCTGCGACTCCATGACCTGCATCCCGCAGGGCTTTGAGCAGGAGTGCACGGGCGCGGCCCGGCGCCCCGAGTTTCGAGAGACTCCGACGGAACGCCCCGCGGCTCCGACGAGTCTCGAGAGAGTTCGGCCGGGAACCCGATCGACGCGCGGTAGGCATGGCCTCGTTCTCCGGCCACGGCCCCCGGCCCCAGCTCTACCGCTCCGACATGTTCGACACGTCCAACTCCGTCGGGGGCCAGTCGAACCAATACGCGGACCTGGCGCAGACGACGCGCGAGTACTACGGCCTCACGATGTACACGCGCATTTTACGGGTCATGGAGAAGGACATCGGCGAGCCCGTGTCGAGCGCCGCGGCGGACATGGCCCAGTTCGGCTACCTGGGCCAATGGGTCGCGCCCTTGGCGCGGACGGAGTTCGACATCGCCGGGAGCTACCACGCGACGGCCATGGCGTCCATCGAGGGCGGCGTCTACAACAACAACAACCTCGGCGCCAGCCGCCTCCCCAAGTACGTCTTTTCCCAACAAATCGGCGGCGGCCGACGGTTTCCGCGTAGGTACCTCGCCGGCGGATCCATGTACGGCTACACGCCCGTCTCCGACGTCGGCCGCGGCTGGGGCTTCCAGGAGATGGGCATCGCCTGCAAGCGCGGCTCCGCCGTGTTTTTTTTTTGGGGGGGGGTCGTTTTGTTTCCGCTGTCGTGCCCGCCACACGATGACCACGGTCCCTCTACGCGCAGGTACCTGGGCCTCGTCACCATGGCGAACCGGGTCATCGTCCCCGTGTCGGGCTACGGCTTCGAGGCGACGCAGGACGAGCACGAGGACGACGGCGGCATCTTCCTCGGCGCGGGCTGGGTCGTGTTGCCCATCTTCCCCGGAGGCAAGATCCGCAACCGGACGACGTTTCTCGGCGACGAGGACTTTGGGCTGACGACGTGGACCCACGTCATCGACACGGCGCAGTACAGCGGCCCGCTCCTCGCGTACGCGCCGCAGTTCTGGATCCGGCGCCTCGAGGGCTGGTGCGAGCAGAGCGAGGCCTACTACGGTGACGGAGGGCTGGGCGAATTGGACTTCTCCTACCCCGGCGACACCTGCCCGCGCGATTTCTACGAGTACGAGCCGGACGCGTGCTGCGTGAACCCGTCGGTCTACGACACGTTCGCCTATCGCGGGGCGGACTGGTGGCCGTCGACGGGCGGCGAGTTCCCGGGGCTCGAGGGCATCTTCGAGGACTACACGGACAGCGGCGAGGATCTGCCGGACTCGTACGAGGGGCCGACCTACTGGAAGATCCCGCAGATCAACTACCCGAACTACACGGACTCGGAGCTGTGGCAGGCGAACGCGCGGACGTACAACGCGGACACGTACGACCGTTGGCTCGAGGTCTTCGCCTACGCCGGCGAGTCCGACGACGAGCTCGAGGCGCTCTTCGCGAACTTCGACACGCGCTTCAACGGGTCCTACCACATGAACACCTACGGCGCCTACTTCGACCTGGGCCTCACGTCCCTGGTCTACGAGGACGCCATGTACATGGACATCGAGAACGGCGTGTCCTCGGACGAGTACTACGAGGACGTCGGCACCGGCGACGACCTCGACCCCGTCGAGACGA